TTTCTAAAACTTTAGTGCTATTTTCCATATTTGTATTTTACAAAATTTGTTTTCGGATGTAAGCAAACAATAGCTGTTATTTCAAATTGACATCTTGCACATTTCTGCCCGGAAAAAAGTCCTGGCTGTTTCGGGCACGAAGAAAAAGACATTTACGATCCAAAACCGGAAGGTACTCGCTCTCTATTACCCATTTTTTAGCGTGAGGAACGTTTTCTGGGCTGTTTTGGGCACCCGCGGAATCCCGCGGGCTCGTGTGGAGTGTTGGCTGCATTTTGTGATTCTCCGTCTACCCGTAACTGTGTTAGTTAAAAATATCATCACTATCATTATTTCTATTCACTGCATATGTCATTCATGCAATAACAATACTATAAACCTTAACAAAGATTATACTTAACAATAAAAATATGCAATAACAATCTCCACGGTTTCACATACACTTTCGGTACTACTGGGATAATACAACCCACCAAATGTCTAACTTTCGTATTTTCTTTACTGTGCATGCGATTTCTCATAAAATTAGTCATAAGCACAGGTTTAAGTGCCTATTTTCAATTATATACAGCTGTACATTTCAGCGCATAGACGCCACGTGAAAAAGTATTTCGCATACATACATACGTGGAATTTGATCGATTTTCTTCGATAAGTGCTGAAATTAGTGGCAATCAGTGTTGCCGCGCCGTCTCAAGAAAATGTATCCCTGACCAAGCCAAAAATGTATCCAAATGTATCCAATTTTCTTTTTTTACATATACATCTCATAATTTGTAAGAAAACCAAACATTTTCATGAAAAAGACATAATTAACCCATCCTAAGGACTTGGAATACATGTGCATAAAATCAAACATTTGTAATTTCAATTTATAAAGTACATTTTTTGTGCATAAGTATTTTGCAAAGTAAATATAATAAATAGCAAGTACACTCTAAAAAGAGCATGTAAAACTACTACTGAAAAGTATCTATTTTTCAACAATCTGTATAAATATACGTATAGGCTGTTCAGTATTTGATTTTGAACTTGAGATCTTTAAAATATGCACATTAATACACATATATAGAATGTTTAAAATTGCAAAAATTTTCAAACTACAAATAGATTTCCTACTAATAATAAACATTACTTTATTTTAAACATTTTATGTGTAAAAGTAAACATGCAATGATTAATTTTATTACACGGCGTGCAAATTTGCACACATTAAAAGAGGAATCTGGTTACCTCTCTCAATATGTGCAAATAAGCAAAATTTTTTCAGTAAAATTCATAAAAGTTTCCTTAAAAAAATCAAATTTATTTTTTTAAACTACATTGAAATCTTATTTCTTTTTAAATTAACAAAGGAAAATATGTAATATGAAAGAGATTACTACAGAAAGAGTATAATTTACTTTATATATTACGTTGTTTAAAGTACAAAACCGCGTATCGTCATTCTGCAAAACCGCGTAACTGACGTTTGCTGCTAAAAATTGGATTTGCTCACACAAGCTCTTGGCTCAATCCTTATCCATTCGTCCTGAAATATACTAGCCAGAAGTGCGATTGCTTTATAAAAAAGAGAACCATTTTGAAATATAAGTGTTTTTACTCTCTAGGAAATAATTTATGCAACGTCACATACGAGGTTTTGCATTACCTTGATACGCAGTTTTGCATTTTGTTGATACGGGGTTTTGTACCTTAAACGACGATATGTTTATTAAGATCTTGCTTAAAGCATCCTTATAAGCTAGTTAACATAATTGCGCTTATACCTATTTTGGTGAGATCTCTTCATATGTTCATTGCTTCGTTCACAAAAAATAAAATGCTTTAATTTCACGCTTAAGTAGCGATTCTTTATACGTTTATAAAACGTAATGCTTTCTACCATCTTTAATGAAAATCGATTTTTGAACGAAAAAAACTTTATAGGAAATATAAAATTTTGGCCTATTTAAAAAGTATCCACATTTATACTGACCGGGAAAAATAAGTATCCCGCAAAAATTTGTCTAAAAATGTATCCAATTGGATCTATTTAGATCCAAACGGCATCCCTGGTGGCAATAAAAGCGTGGCCAACAAAAGCTGCATTTGTTTGTATAAAAAGTGTTTGGTTTGTTTCATTAAATTGTTTAGTGGTGTTTTTTGCTATTAAAAGGTAACTTAGAATCAGTGATCGGACTTAAAAAAAAAGTGTGGTAGAATCTGGAAAAAATGTCGATTTCAAAAAAATGTGGTAGATCTCAGGTAGTGTTGTCAGATTTTTTATGCGCGAAATCAGTACGTTAGACTTTTTAATGCTAAAAGAATCAGTACTTTTCAGTACATTTTTATTCAAACCAAAATTATGAATCTAGGTAACAGAAAATACTGTACAACGCCAGACTTCTTCTTTTTAACAATATTTTGGTATATAAATCAAATTCATTCACTTCTCATTTTAGCATGAGTGTATCATTATACACAGGAGCCAGTAAATTATTTTATATTTATGACATTTTTGAATAACAATAATGAGATCATTCCCATTTTCAATGCTTAAGTAGTCAAAGAATTTGATGGGTCATTCCATACAATATTTGAACCTCAATATTTTTTTTTTGGTCAAATATATTTTTTTACATTCTTTATCGAAAAAATAAGCCACCTATTATTTTGTTTCGTCATGATATTCGAAAATCTCGAAAAGAAATTCCCGAAATTTTGAACTCATGGAGCAAATCAGTTACGGTATCAAAATGTGCGTAATTACTTCGGATTTTCAATAAAATGTGAGATGTATTAAAATAAAAAATAAAAATTATATTAAAAAGTTGCATTTCTTATTTTTTATTTTTTTATTAACTTCATCATGTTTGATTTTTATTTTTTCAACCTGAATAGTTGTAAAATTTTATGGAGTACGCTGTAAAAATTTGAGAATGGAAACATCAAAACTGTAGAAGTTACGAATGTAAAAAAATATATTGAGTGGTAGATATTGTATGGAATGAATAATCAGACGGCGTATAAATTCTGACCTTTGGTTTAACTTTCAACTGTTTCGACATAAAGCCTGTCTCTGTATTTGTTTTTAACGAGATTTATCTCTGAAATTTTTCTTTCAGAAGCGGCACTACTATGCGGTAAAAAAACTAAGTCAGCATATACTCTGCCAAGTTGTTAAACATACACCTTTCCAAAATATTTTTCTGGTCCTTAATCAATCCCCTGCTTTGGGAAATAAAAAGTGATTCCGCAAGGAATTTTAAGGAGTAAAAGAGACAACTTCTCTTACACCTTGCTATACAAAACCTTGATGGTTGCCACAGAAGTTATTGAGCAAAAATTTAAGTTACCATATTTAAAAAAAATGCTTAATGTGAATGGAAAAAAAAATCTAAGCAAATTTAAGGTCAAGCGGGGTAGGGAGTAGATTTAAAATTTAAAAAATTAATCGGAGTAAATCTACTCCGATCGAAGCAGCGTCCGCGCCCAAAAACCAAAGCACAGAGAATAGGATGTAAAATCTATGCCTGCAAACTAACTTTTACCGAAAGTTTTTCAGCCGTGCCCCCATTTTCACTTACTTTTGCGATTTACGTTTTCGTAAAAATCGTTCGTTTTTACTTTTGGGTGCTCCCGAATTCGCAACTTTTTTTTATCGATAGGTTCTATTTTCCACTTTAATTTCAGCACTCTTAACAGTCAATCCTTGAAGGTATGCAACAATTATCGCCCCAAATTGTAAATCTTCGATGCTTCCAAAAATTTTCGTTGCCCAAAAATGCATAATAAATAGTAAATTAAAAAAAAATAAAATCAACATAAAAAATTAACTTTAGGACGCCAAAAATATCGCAAAATATAAAGGAGAAAATTAAAAATAAATTAAAACTAAACTAGTTTGTTATTTGAGTTAATTTTGAAATTTACTTTTCATACCACCGTCTCAGCGGCAACCGATTTGAAGCTGCAAAAATTTTGCGATTTGCGAATATTGGATCACGTAATTTGAAAATTAAGACGCAGAATATTTGCGATTACGAAATTGGAAGCACGTCAGTTTGTCAATGGAAAGGGTATATGTAAAGGATCCACTAAGATATCAGCCAAGCTAACCAATGAGAAAACAGCGATTCTGTTTTGTCTAAGAATTTCGAATACTCCTTGTAGCTTTCCTCACCATTTTAAAAATTTATTTCCGTAATACCTGTTTGTTTAATCTCAAATTTATAAAAATGAATCTGCTTGAATCCTCATTTGTCGGAGCGGCTCTAAACCCACTATACAAAATCCCCAAGTAAACTTTTATTTACGAATTCACCATTCGAGCTCTCTTTAGGGATCCATGGGTTTGCAGATTTCATTTCGACTGCCGTTAAAATTATGGGAAATGGAACATTTTTTCAAATAGCGATCAATTCTTATAGCTGCATAGATAATGAATAGCAACAAAAATAAAGCGAATATTTGCGGTTTTATTTTTTTTCATTGAAACAAATAGCACCACAACAAAGCTTTTAGTTTATTAAAAAACTTAAACATTGAAGAACACGTAGTAAAAATAATTATGTATGTAGATATCTACATATATAAAAATATACTACACTAAACGTGTTTAATTTAATATTCACATATATAAATATGTACATATATACAAAGTAACTCAAAAAGCTGCAATATTTTTCGAAAAAGACTCATTTAACAGACGTACTGTCCAGTAAATAGATGGTCAAGACTATTAATAAAAATAGCAAGCGAGACGTGCGCAAATTTGCTCTATTACGCCTCCGCTCCCCATAAGAAATGTAGGAAACGTTTAAATACCAAATTGTTTAAACAAACCATTTAAAAATAAAATCACTGTATCCGGCTGAAAATATACGTAAGCTACATACACACCCTGTAATTACACATATGAATATAAATCTTGGAAATATTGACAATAAATACTCCGAATACATCTTTAGACTCGAGAGTGTTATTTAGCTTATCGATTCAAAATAAATTTGACATACCTTTTGCACGACTAGTGGGGAAGCAAAGTCAACACCTCCCTGCAATCGAAAGCCCCAAGGCTGGGCGTCAAAACGCGACAGTTTAATTTGTAGTAACTGAGGTTGAGCCATTTGCGTTGCTTCCTATGCGAAGTTTATACTGAAATGAAAGGAGAGAGAGCCATTTAATACAAAATCTGACTAACAATAAGGCCAATGCAATTACATTTCAATGAACTCAGAGTTTCTTTGTCAAGTCTTTCAATTTCCGGTGTAATATATATACGGTGACCATTCGTACCGATTTTGGGGGGACAGTACCGATTTTGAGAAAATTGTCCAGCTGAATATTTTTTAAAAGTCGGGACGTATAGGTGTTCCGATTTTTCATATTTGTACCGATTAAGTCCCGATTTTCAGTGTTTTCTTTATTAATTTAATAAGAGTATCCCTGTACTATGTTCAAAAAAAAAAACAAGTTTTCGCACAAACGCACATTAGGTCAAATGATAACTTTTTCTGTGCGAAATTAATAACAGCTAAAATAGTGCATTATTTTAATGTAAAAAGATGACATACTTACGTTAAAAATAGTGTAAAGGTAGTAAATAAAATGTGGAAACTTGTCTTTCGTAAAACAGACTCTTCTGCTTTTTTGTACGTTCAAATTATGAGTATATGTGTTTAAGTAGTACTTAGCTTGGTTTTGACACAAGTTATTTCCTTAATATACTCAACCCCCTCCCGCTTACAATGAGCTACGTAATAAAATAAGTATGGTCACATGTACATAAATGGTTTCTTCTGGAAATTCCTAAATTAAAACAAGTAAGAAAGTCTAAGTTCGGGCGGAGCCGAGCATTAAATACCCGGCGCAAGTATTAAATATATGTTTTCCACCTTTCCGAAAGCTACCACTACATGATAAGCCGGGGTGTATAAATTTTAAGTAAACTAGCGTCCTTAAATTTCGAAATATTGAAATTTCAAGCATTTCTGGAATTTACCGTTATATGAAAAGCGGCCGTAATTTTAGTCCGATTTCAACAATTTTCAACGGTTTGATTTTATGTGGCAAGCACAATAATCGTACCGAGTTTGGTTCAAATTGGTAGAACGTTTACCGAGATACATATATGTGATCAAAAGGTGGCGGTGCCACGCCCATTTTCCAAAATTTTATCACAAACATATTTCTTTGTTAAGAATTGTAGTAACCATCAATTTTGAATAAATTAGCTTTAATATTTACTGATTTATCGAATATTTCGTATTTCTCTAAATTACCGTTATATGAGATGTGGGCGTGGTTATTGTCCGATTTTAAAAATTTTCGGCCATTTGGTATGCTGTGCCAGGGCCAATAACTGTGCCAAGTTTGGAATAAATTGGTGCAGCGGTTACCAAGATATACACATGTAACCATAAGTGGGCGTGGCTACGCCCATTCGCCAAAATGTTTTAATATTCTTATTTTTCGTCTCAAACTCATTGCAAATATCAATTTTGAGTGAATTAGCTTTAGTAGTTACTAAAATATCGCTCTTTTCGTATTTCTGAAAATTACCGTTATATGGGAGGTAGGCGTGGTTACAGTCCGATCTCGCCCATTTTCAATACCATCCGTCCTACGCCCAAAAGAAGTCCACGTACCAAGTTTCGTTAAGATACCTCAATTTTTACTCGAGTTATCGGGTGCACAGACGGACGGACTGACGGACGGACGGACAGACAGTCACCACTTAATCGATTTCTCTTTTCATTCTGATCATTTATGTATACATTTGTCTATATCTATCTCGATTCGTTTTGCCTGTTACAAACAACCGTTATGTGAACAAAGTTATAATACCCTTGTGCACAAGTGCGCTCGGGTATAAAAAGAAAAAAATTTATTACATTTCTCGCAGATATGCCTTGAGAAGAGATTTCTAAACCAGTTAGTCGTCATAAAACACTTCATTTTCACTTGAGGTTCTAGTATTCCCAAATTCCCCATCGATATTATTTATATTCAGAATGCAAATGCTGCTTTGTGAAACATTTACCAAAAATCGCTGGTAACTTCCTGGAAAGAATACGAATGTTTTTGAAAACTCTATTCACTTTGAGTAAAAAATTTCGAAGTTTCAATCCGTACATTCTCTCAAGCATTTGCCTTTTAGCGAATCGGCGCAAGTGCCTTTGTAACATGGCCATGGCTACGCTACAGGAGATGAAATGTAATCCAAATTGAGGCTACTATTTTTTTGCTATCTTATACTTCCATTTTCACTATTTATCACCATTAAAATTGACTATTTATCACCAAAAAATTTGGGCTAAGCTATTTTTAGCGAAAGAGGGGACAGAACCGCAATTCTTGGGGATAGCTAATAATTCGGAAAAAATTGAGCTTTCCTAGTTTAGCATTTTAGCGATAGTGAAAGTTAGAATCCGGCTGCTGGTCGACAAAGTTGGCTTTTTGATTTCGAAAAGAACTTCATCAGCAAGAAACGCTATGTTTTCAGATCTAAATATTTTAGCACCCTTTCCGAATTGCTTTCCATAATTCTCGTCTTTCTTTCATAAATAATTGCAAAAAATACGCGTTTTTTCTTCTAAGAGTTTCATGGAACTTTCGCAAATATCAGCAGCGCCGAATTTTTTTCAACATGGTTGACAACCGAAAAAAGGTTTCTTTTTTTCGAACATCTAATCAGCCAAACTTCAAACAACTCGCCTTTTGTAATAGCATGATAGCCCAGAAAAACCCCGTTTTTCTTGTAAACGGCTAAAAACGGCGGGCTAAGTAAAATAAAATAAACTCATTACATCTTAATTTATCAATTTCCTTTTCCATTTCATTTGCCGAAAGTTAACAAAATTGTAAAAGCTTATGAACATAAAATCATGAATGAAAATAAATCAGAAAAATTTTGAGGTTATGCAACAAGTCAGTTTTTTTTTGCAAACAAATGATAAAAAGTCACTTTTTTAAATTGTGACATAGGTTTTCACTTATAGTTTTGTTTTCTATTTCAAATTTTCCTTTCATTATTCGAACTTTACAAAAAAAAAATGCACTTAAAACTTACCAAATAAACCGGCTGCGCAAACAACGTGTCAATAACGTTTTGAAAGTGTAACTTTGGTTTGTTGCTGTCTAACGGTTTTTTTTTTTATTTTACAAAAACAAAGTGAAGTTTATGTTATTTTGGTGTATTTCCTACAGAATGGCACCAAAAAATAATGTAAAACTGCCCTTAAGAAATTGGACTTTCGCACAGCCAAATGATTCATTTGACCTAATGTGAAACGTGGCAACACTTTCGCTATCACAAAGAACATAGAATGTAACGAAGCCATAAAGAAAGCCAGCATCCTTATTTTCCGTATTTTCTATGATGATTGGTTATGTGTCTAACTGGTGCTCCCTGCAGTCTATCATTCTCGTCTCATTTTTTTAAGGTTTTTATAATTATTTGTTAAGTTTTTTTTAATGAAACGATTCGACCTTTAATTTAGTGAAATTATAGAAATGGCTCATTCCATTTCAAATCACCCAGGCCGGGGGAAAGTGAATTTAAGTTTGCGATAAAACTCACAGGGATTGTTCCTTGAACAATTTAAGGAGACACGTATTTTTTTCTTTTTGCTCAGAAATGAGAATTTTTCGAATAATGAATTTTTTTCTTTTTGAGTACGAACGCTTCTTTTTTCCTCTCTTAATAGCAACTTTTGATGAAATCGTTTATAACTGCCGCAAACAAGGAAGGATTTTAACGATTTTTTTTTAAATTGCAGATATTGATCTACTGAATCGATCTAGTAAACTAAACATCAGTAATTGTTTATTAATAATTAATTATTGTTTATAAGCAAAAAATTTTTATTTTTTTCAAATTGATTTTTTCAAATTGCCACATCTTTTTTTCTCTCAAACTTTTTTGTCTATTAGGGAATAGTATAAACTATTTTCAGTACGAGTAGCATGTGCTAAAATTCGTCATTTTCGAGCTATGATCTTTTTTCTGAAAATTCACTTATATGATGCTAGCAGATTTTCGTGCCAGTTCAGGTCACAAAAATTGTTGCCCATTATGACAAAATTTCCTTGCTGGAAATTTTTTGAGGTTGCCCGATCAGAGCTAAAAGTTTTTCCCAATTGGGCTCTAATTTTGACCCAATTGGGGCCCAATTAGCGATTTGCCCAATCTACCGAAGATTTCCCCAACCAGTGCTCACAATTTGCTCAAAGTGGACATGCACACGCAATTAAAACGTTTTTATCGATAAAATCACACATACACACATCAAAATTCCCTACGAAAAAAAAAATATTTAATTTTTTTTCGTGAAATTTTGTTTAGAATTTTTTTGAGTACGCAATTTTGTAGCCCATTAAATTTGAGTATAATAAAGTGCAAGTGTTAAGCTACTGCAAAATTGCGTTGATTTTTAATATTGTTTATGCTCACGGCTTCTTGCACTTTTTCCTTATCGATGAAAATGCCTAAAACCGCTTTCAAAGAAAATTAAAAAAAAAATTACGGCTGTTTTGCAATCGCTTAAAACTTCCACTTTATTATACTAAAAATCAAAAAGTGTGTATGTGAAAAATTTTTCAAGAAAATAATTAAAAAATAGTTTTCTTCGTAGGGAATTTTGATGTGTGTATGTGTGATTTTATCGATAAAAACGTTTTAATTGCGTATGCATGTTCACTTTGAGCAAATTGTGAGCACTGGTTGGGGAAATCTTCGGTATATTGGGCAAATCGCTAATTGGACCCCAATTGGGTCAAAATTAGAGCCCAATTGGGAAAAACTTTTGGCTCTGATCGGGCAACCTCAAAAAATTTCCAGCAAGGAAATTTTGTCATAATGGGCAACAATTTTTGTGCCCTCAACTGGCACGAAAATCTGCTAGCATCATATAAGTGCATTTTCAGAAAAATAATCATAACACGAAAATGACGAATTTTAGCATATTGCTACTCGTACTGAAAATAGTTTGTACTATTCCCTAATGGACAAAAAAGTTTGAAAGAAAAAAAGATGTGGCAATTTAAAAAAATTAATTAAAAAAAAAAAATTTTGTTTATAAACAAAAGTTAATTATTAATAAACAATTACTGGTGTTTAGTTCACTAGATCGATTCAGTAGGTCAATATCTGC